GTTTCGCTGCAATGAAATGATCTTTATGCGGATGCGTATTAAATTGTGATAATTTTGATAATGTATGTGCTAAATCAGGCCTTGAAGTTGCTGCCAAATACATTAATCCTCCTATTAGTGATTGATATTTCTTTACATCAACCATATCAGGCAATCCTCCCGACAACACTTGTCTGAAATTACTCCACTTGCAAACGGTGTTGATGCTGGTTTGCACTCCACCATGCTCCACGTTTTTAGAAAGTCTTGTATATATTTCTTCTGATGTAATAAAATATCTCCACGTCCTACACGTTCAATTTCCATTCCCAAATAATACGATACTGGTCCACGATCTACTGCATCCAATTCCTTATTTAATTCAGTCAAAATGCTCTTCATTGAATCTTCTAATGAACATGCAATTAACATGTCATCTACATAAACTGCAATTATGTTCATTTCATTTCCTCTATTCATTACATATAAGCAATTATCTGATTTGCATTTCACGAATCCCATGCGTTCTAAAATTTCATTAAGTGTCCTATTCCATTCACGTCCTGACTGTTTCAATCCATAAAGCGATTTCTTTAGCTTACAAACTTTACTAGGATATCTTTTATTCTCAAACTTCTCAGGTTGTTTCATGTAAACCTCCTCATTTAAATGTCCATTCAAATATGCAGACGCTATATCAATATGACGTACCAATAAATTATACTGCACTGCTATAGATAGTAGGGCTATTCGCGATCCGGTGCAAATGGCCTAGCATCATTGCATTGCAAATTTGTATTGCAAATTATTTGCAATACACAAACAAAATACACGCATTTGCATTTGTCATGGCTTGGCAAATTTGCAATACCGAAAATCCATAGCATAAAAATGCTATGCATTGCATTCATAAACAAAACCAAAGCTGATGCACAAAAATTGTTTTGCAAAAGCTTTGCCATGACAGTTTAATAAAGGTCGCTCACAATCCATGGCATATTTCTGCAATTGCATAAATTTGTCAGTTCTTATGCACCGAATCGCGAATAGCCCTAGTATCATACGTATAGTAGAATGGCGAATAACTGGCGCATATGTGTCAAAATAATCAATACTATACTTTTGACTACATCCTCTTGCTACCAAACGAGCCTTGAATTTCTATATGCTACCATCAGCTTTATGCTTAGTCACAAAAACCCATTTTCTCCCGATAACATTTCTACCTTTTGGCTTATCCACAAGTTCCCAAGTATTGTTTTTTATTAACGAATCATACTCAACTTGCATCGCTTTTCTTTCTATGCATGGACTACCTCGCTTCCTTTTCATACCAGCACTGACTTCCCCTGAATCATGGTTGTCGCTGTCATACAATTCCTCCTCATCTGCGATTAAAATTCCATCATTTGATTGGTTATTATTTTCATTACTAAAATTTAAAAAACCATTTTTACTTAAATCAAACGTAAAAATATCTGTGTAATTATAGATAGATGTGCCATCTTCATTTATATCTTCATTATTACCAGCTACTCTACTTTGAAATGAATTTTCGAAAAAATTTACATCTCTAGAAATTACGATTTGTTGCTTTTCCATATAAAATAATCTATATCCTTTACTTCTATTTGAATATCCTACAAAAACCATTTTCGTTCCTTGGGGGGTTAATTTATTTCTAGCCGGTCGTTTGTCCAAAACAACAACATCGCAACCGAATGTCCTAAAATATGATACCGCAAGGTTTATAACCAAACCAACATTCATATTGTGTTTTTCCTTTAAGTACTTTCGATGGTGACCTGTTACGTATGTACGTAGCTATATTAACCGCTTCAGCCCAAAATGAATAATGCAATTTCGATTCCGCTAACATACACCTAGCCATCTCCATCAAAGTTCGATTTGCTCTTTCAGCTATACCATTCTGTTGTGGTGTATAACAAGTAGTTAACTGATGCTTTATCCCATTCTCAAATAGAAAATTATCAAACTCCTTATTAGAATATTCTCTTCCATTGTCACTGCGTAAAGTTTTAATCCTTTTTATTTTTAATAATTTTCCTTTGATTATTATCACTAGCTGCTAAAATCTGCTCACAATTTACGAAGTCCTTTTTACCTCCACGTCGTTGCTCTTCTTCTAAAATTTTAACTTTTAATTGATCCAGTTTAGGCAGTTCATCTCTTGTCTCAATTGCTATTGCAAATCCCTCCATATCCTCCGGCAAACTACACAACAACAAGATACTAAGTATACCTTCAGGAACATTCACATCAATTTCCTTTAAATTGTCCACAATCGAGCAAAAATCATTCAGTAAAGTTGCATATTTCTTGTCTCCTTTGAACTGAAATTTTACTAGTTGCTTAAATAAATTTACCTTTCTTCCAGGACCTTTGTCCTTATAAACTTTCTCTAAATTCTGCCACGCTTCCTTTGCGCTCTTGCAATATCTAATATAAATCAATTCGGAGGGTTTTACGCATAGAGTAATGGTAGCCAAAGCCTTTTGATCTGTTTTTTGCCATTTTTCCTTTTCAGCAACCGTTGCCCCAGGATTAAATGTTAATTCAATTACGTCCCATAAGTCCTGCGTAATTAACAGCCCTTTTATCTGTATTGACCAGCTGGAAAAATTTTCACCATTTAATCTGTCAATACTTGCGATCGCCGCCATTCCTCTCGTTGATTGTAGTTAATTGACTCGAGAAAAAAAAAATCGTTTTGCTGAATAATTATTTCACCAATCTATTGTCCTTGATCCTCGGTCGGAAAGCCCATAACCTTTGTTAGAAGGATACTTCCAATAAATCGCAAAGATAGTTAATGTTGTTCGCAATACAAAGCTTTTATTTCAAGTGAAGAAATTGAAAATTTTCTGAGATATAAGTTATCAACTTCTCAATTTGAAAACTATGATCAGTTCGACAAGATCAAAGTTTTAATGTAGTTGAGTTGTTTCAATAACATTTCTTACAAATCCTATAAGCTTGTGATCATCTTTATGATTACCATGTGAAAAAAATTCGGGAGTGTTGCGCACTGGTTATTGATTCAAGTTCAAAAATTGGGTAGGCGCTGTGGCCAATGGTAGCTCTTGTACCACCTCTGTATGCTGAAAGTCATACAGAGCCCCAACAGCTTGTAGCGCTTTGGCTTTTGCTGTTTAAAACCACTCCGGAGGAGTGGTGATGCATCAAGCGGGATTGTTGAGCATGATTTGGGGTGCCAGCAATTAACTACTTTAGTAGGTTTTGTTCTGCGGCAGTTGAGAAGTGCCTAAAAAAATGCATACCCAATGAAGAACGAGCGAATTATTTTTAAACACAAGTGCGTGTGTTTATTCGCTGCACTTGGTTTTGGGCGGGAGTGCAATACCGTTGAATCCGGCGATGACGGTGGATTTGGCGATAGTGGAGGGTTTGGCGGTGGTGGAGGTTTTGGCGCGGATTTCGGCGGCTCTTTGACGATGGGTGGTGACGATGGGCGATAATCGACACTGGGGTGGTACTTGCGGTGGTGGGGCTGCTGCACTTCCGTGTAGGAGGACGTGGCGCAGGCGCTAATTCGCGGCTGCTTCCTTGCGCATACACCAGCGACTTTCAAAGCGAAAAATACTGATAGGTTTTAGATTTTTTTTCTTCGCGCGCCTTGGTTATTTTGCGAGAGACTACTATGACCGCTGAAAATAATACACCGAATGTTTATGGAGTGCAATGGGGTATAGTCATTGCGCTGAGTATGCAGTTACAGTTGCATGGCTATACTCAATCCCGACTCTTGCGACCTCGTTCGCGCACTCTGGGCAACGTGAGCAACCCATGTGCGAGATGCGGTAACCAATCCGAGTGGAGCCTTGGGCCACAGCATATTCGCGCCTTGGCACCCACGTCACTGTTGACAGTTACAATTTCGAGAAAGTAGAGAATTTCGTTTACTTGGGAACCAGCATTAACACCTATAATAATGTCAGCATTGAAATCCAACGTAGAATCACTCTTGCCAAAAAGTGCTACTTTGGACTGAGTAGGCAATTCAGGAGTAAAGTCCTCTCTCGACGTACGAAAACCGCGCTCTATAAGTCACTCATCATGCCCGTGCTGGTATATGGCGCAGAAGCATGGACAATGACAACATCCGATGAGGCGGCTCTTGGAGTGTTTGAGAGAAAGATTTTGCGGAAGATTTACGGGCCTTTACGCGTTGGCGACCGCGAGTACCGCAGACGATGGAACGATGAGCTGTATGAGCTTTACAACGATATGGACATAGTGCAGCGAATTAAAATACAGCGGCTCCGCTGGCTTGGTCATGTCGTTCGAATGGACACCGAAGCTCCAGCTCTGAAAGTATTCAACTCGGAACCCGCTGGTGGTAGCAGAGGAAGAGGGAGGCCCCCACTGCGATGGAAAGATCAGGTGGAGAAGGACTTGGCTTCACTTGGCGTTTCCAATTGGCGTCAGTTGGCACAGAGGAGAAACGACTGGCGTGCTTTGCTGAACTCGGCCAAAATCGCTTAGGCGGTTACAGCGCCAAAAAAGAAGAAGAAGAAGTTTATACTTTAAAGTACAATATTGTTTATTGAAACCAAGTTATAAAAAGTTATTCAGATTAAGAGCGAAATTTGCGACCGCACGAAACAATGAAGAAAATGGTATGTATCTAATTTTTTTGTTTCTCCTTTTGACATTTGCTGCTTGCACTGTATTAACGACTTTGGCGTTGCCAACTATGCATTTCAATATGAAGATTTCTTTAGGTTTAGGGTTAACAATTCTTATCAATTCAATATGAGAAAATATAGAGGGTATTAATTTGAATAGCGCAAAACATGTAAATTCAAATTTAACAATTCAAGGCATAAGAATATAAGGTTTAACATTTTTGAATAACTCAAGTTTAGGGCCGGTTACTCAATGTCTGGTTAACACTAATCTCCGGTAAAACATCGTTATCGACGTTACCGACTCCATGTTATATGCATGGAGCCGAACACGTCGATAATGATGTTTAAACGGAGATTAGTGTTAACCAGACATTGAGTAACCGGCCCTTAGTGTTAACAATTTTGAAATGATTTAACTTTTAGAGTTAACAATTCAATGAAGGAAAATATGTTTACAAAGTTTGAGTAATTCAATTGTTGAAGAAAATTCGCATTAATTCAGGTAATAAACACATACGTTGTAAGGTGTTAAACGACAGACGTTTCTCGTTTAACTATTCTCCCGCACCTAGGCGCGCTAAGCGACTATACTGTTCTCCAGCTCCCGCAGTTTACGTATTGCATCCCGGAGCAATTTCCTGGACAGCTTTCCATTCGCCTTGGTGATGCGGATTCCCTGGGTGGTGGTATTGATTTTCTTCGCTCTTTGCCCCATATGCGGGTGCTTGTGCTTGTTAGAGCTGAGTGCAGTACGGCGTAGACGGTGGGGACGAAGTGCGGAAGGCCTTTTGCGCGATGCTGGAGCGTGGTGTTGCAGAGAGTTTTTGTTGAGTGCCGTCTTCCGGTGAAGCAGAGTATGGTGACGCTGACCACATAGCCTGCAGATTCCAGCGGAGGGACAGTCCTTGCTGTGATGCGATAAGGCGAAGCAGTTGGTGCAAAATTTGTGTGCACGTGCGACCAGATAACGTTGGGTCGGCTGCATTGCGCGAAACACTTGGCATACCCGCAACGCGTGATGTCGTGCGCATAGACGGCATCGATTGAAATCGATGGTTTCCTCTTCTGGCTGCGCCGCTGGAGTTGTGTCAGTCATCATGCCTACTTCGGACCGCTGCGGTTGCTTAGGATGTAGCGATATTCGAGGTGCTGGTTTCGGAGAGCCACTGCTGCTGCAAGTATCCATCTGTAAGTAAGCCGTGGAAGTTAGACTATCAGTGGGGAGTCTACAAGACAATTGAAGAAACGTGGGATAAGAATATTTCATTCATATACAGGGTTTTAAATACATATGAGCTAAGAGAGTCTGTTGTCATGAAAGTGCTTAAAGGCTTTAATTATGGCGCATTTGGAGAAGTCAGAGGGGCGTCACCCATTGGCAACGGGCATATTTAAACTATGGGGCGAGTAAGGGTGCCAGATTGGGAGCGCACATCGACAACTCGAATATGTCCTTCTCTGCCGGGGTGTGACCTTTCGATACGGCCTAAACGCCATTCAATGGGAGGTATAGTATTGTCAACAATAAGAACGCAGTCGCCGACTTTCGGCTCTGCCTGGGTATTTTTCCATCTATATCTCTTCTGTAAATCCTTGATATAATCCTCTTTCCACCTTCGACTAAACCCGTGATGTAACACCTTCACTTTTTCCCACCTATTAAGGAGGGACAGATGGCTGTGGTCGACTTCAGGGAGTGCTAAGAGGGGGGCGCCTCGTAAAAAGTGGCCAGGCGTAAGCGCTGTGAGGTCTGTGGGGTCTAGGGATAGAGCAGAGATTGGCCGGGAGTTTAATACGGCCTCTATTCTGACTAACAGGGTGGTGAACTCTTCAAATGTGAATTTGCTGGGTCCAGCAGTCCTTTTGAGATGCATTTTGAAACTTTTGACTTCGGACTCTTACAAACCGCCCACGTGGGGGGCTCCTGGCGGAATAAATTCCCAGTTGATGCCTTGAGGTGAGTATTTCTGGATGACATCTTGAGATACCTCCTTCAGAAATTCGATGAACTCCTTTTCGGTTGCTCGTTTGGCCCCTACAAAGGTTTTGCCATTGTCGCTCATCATCTTAGCGGGATAACCCCGTCGTCCGACGAAGCGAGCAAACGCAGCGAGAAATCCGGCAGTGGTCAGATCGGAACACAGCTCGAGGTGGACTGCTTTTGTAGTGAAACATACAAAAACAGCCACATAGCCCTTCACCAACGTGTGCGATCTTAGCATTGAGGCCTTTATCTGGAAAGGTCCAGCAAAATCTACGCCCGTAATAGTAAAGGGCGGAGCATACGTGCATCGTTCCGAGGGGAGGGCCGCCATTATCTGCGATCGCGTTTGCTGCTTGTGGACTGTGCAACTTTTACATTGGAAGATGCATTTTTTTTATGAGGGGCTTAAGCCGAGGGATATAAAGTTCCTGCCTTATGACTTGCTGCTTGAGACGAGTTTCTGCATGGAGGAGCAGTTCGTGCAGAAAGCTTGTGAATAGGAGGCGAACCGGGATTTTTCGGGAATAATGATGGGATGTCTTTCATTATAGCTCAAAGTGGCGTGAGCTAATCGACCATTCACGCGGAGCAACTCGGTTTTATCTAAAGACGGGTTGAGAGGAAGCAGAGGACTCCGTTTATCTATGGGTTTGGAGTTTGCTAAATAGGCCTTTTCCCGAGGAAAGTAGCGAGATTGGGTCAAAGCTAGGAGCCTGTATTTGCTATTACGGAGGTCATCATGGGAGAGAGCGATGGAATTATTTGATCTAACCTGTCTGACTCGGTCTCGAAGACACTGTATAAATTTGAAAGCATACGCCATAACTCTAAGTGCACGGGGAAACGAGGAGAAGCGATCAAGGATATCGTGATCTTCCTCTGTGGCATGTAATGCCTCGACTCGGCGCAATTCTGGAGGGGAGATATTTCGGGTGGCCGGTTTTGGCCAGGCTTCGGGTGGGCTTAATAGCCATTCCGGTCCATGCCACCAGGGGTCTGTATCCTCTGGTGCCCAGATCTGCGGGGTTGTCTCTGCTGCCCACATGCCGCCAGGTGGCGTTTCCGACGAGATCTAAAATTTGTGCCGTGCGATTGGAAACGAAGGTCTTCCATGAATGAGGGGGTTTTTCTAGCCATGCCAAGACGATCTCGGAGTCAGACCATAGTATCAGTTTCCTCTTAGAGAGGTCGAGTTGAGACTGCACTACGGCGACCAACTTCGCTAGGAGAAGGGCGACGCACAACTCAAGTCGGGGTAAACTGGTGGTTCGGAGAGGCGCTACTTTGCCTTTGGAGACCAGCAGATGAGAAGAAGTCCTGCTACCGTTCGTGGTTCGCACATATATGTTAGCGCAGTATGCTTTCTCGGAAGCGTCGCAGAAGCCATGTAGCTCGACTTGGTCGGCGGGGACAAAATCTACCCATCGGGGTATTTGGATGCTAGAAATGGCTTGGAGATTGGTTGCAAATTGCATCCATTTCGTCAGGCGGAGGGGCTTGACCTGGTCATCCCAGTCAGTTCCGTCAACCCATAGTTTTTGTAGCAGGATTTTGGCTTGGATCATTATGGGCGAAAGCCATCCTGCGGGGTCAAACAATTTGGCAACTGCCGAGAGGATTTGTCGTTTTGTACTGGCGGATGACGCTGGGATGGAATCAACGGTATACGAAAACGTATCGGTTAGAGCGTTCCACTGAATCCCGAGCGTTTTAGTGGTGCTTGCTGTTTCAAATTCTAGGAAGTTTGTGTCAAGCAGGTCGTCTTTGTTGATGTTTTTCAAAATTTCAGGGTGGTTGGCTGTAATCTTTTTAAGTGGGAAGCCTGCCGAATTGAGCGCTTGGATGACTTGAGAGAGGGATTCTTCGGCTGAAGGGAGATCATGACCACCGGAAAGTATATCATCAACGTACGTTTCATTGTTTAATATGGGCACCGCTAAGGGGTGCGTGGTTTGCACGTCATCTGCGAGCTGGTGAAGGGTACGTATAGCGAGGTAGGGTGCGCAATTCAAACCAAACGTGACAGTTTTCAACTTATAATCTTGTATTTGGCTATTTGTAGATGGTCGAAATACGATTCGTTGATAGTCTTGGTCGTCTTTGTGCAGCAGTATCTGTCGATACATTTTCTCGACATCGCCGTTAAAGACAAATCGATACATACGCCACTTGAGGAGCAATAACATCAAGTCGGGCTGGAGGGTTGGTCCGGTGTAAAGAACATCGTTCAGGGAATGTCCGGACCCCGATTTCTTCGAAGCATTGAAGACGACTCGGACTTTGGTCGTTCTTTTTTCGGGTTTTATAACCGTGTGGTGTGGGAGGTAGAACGACCAATATTTGCCTTGAGAAGATATCTCGAGGGAAGTTGTTTCTTCCATATGGTTGAGGGTGAGATATTCGTTTAATACATTTTCGTAAAGTGATTTTAGATCGCCTTTTCTGAGCAAATTTCTTTCCATGCTCAGGCACTGTTGGAGGGCGGGGTGCGAGACGGGCCAAGGGAGATAGGGTCTGGGAAGCTTGGCTTAAAGGGCAGTCTGACTACATAACGACCATCCGCTGCTCGTGTGGTGGAGGACTGATAGAATTTTTCACAATTTTCATCATCAAGCGAAGTAAGCTTGGATTTCGGAACCTCTTCTAGCTCCCAAAACTTTCGCAGCTGGGAATCTAAACCCTTATTGGAGATCGGTGTAGCTTGAGTAGAGAAACAGGCTATTTTTTCGGGAAATTGACCACTTAAGATCCAGCCGAATATGGTGCAAGCAAATTTTTGGAAATTTTCTCAATGCCTTCCAGCATTATTTCAGGAATGAGGTCACTGCCAATGACCAGATCAATTTGGGACGGGGAGTGGCAGTTAGTATCTGCTAGCTGGAGGTGAGACCATTTTTCTCGTTGTTCGAGAGTTGGCTGGAATTTTGGAAGCATTTTCGTTAACTGGGATAGTACTATTGCTTGAGCCTTTATTTTCGTGGTCAAATCTGCGGAGCTAAGATGAGATGGCAAAGTTTGTTCGAAGTCTGAACAACTCTGCCTCCCATGCCAGAAATTTCAAAGTTAGAAGTTTGGTACGGTAGCCTTAGTTTGTTTTGAGCTTTGGAGGAAATAAAAGTTCGTTCCGAACCCTGATCTATGAGAGCTCTGAGTTTGAAGATCTCGCCCCTGTGTTCAACTGGCACCATTGCTGTGGGAAGGAGAATCTTGCTCTCATTTTCCGAGTAGAACGACTGTACTCTTGCTCTATTTGAGCAAGAAGGCTCCTCATGAGTTGTTTCCGACCCAGCTGAATTTTGTGGGTTGGAATTAGTGGGCGTCGTCAGAGCGACCTGAGATGTCGTTCTTTGGGTTCGAGACTGCTGTCTTGGCGGCATGGGGGGCGTGTCTTCATGAAGCATTGAGTGATGCCGTTCTTGACAATGGGAGCAAGTATATTTACTTGAGCAGTCTTTTATCAAGTGGGTCTGACATAGGCAATTAAAACAGAGGTTGTGTTCTCTCACAAACTTTCTGCGATCCTGAGTTGGCAGTTGACGAAATTTGGAGCACTGAGAGAGAGTGTGCTGAGGTTTATTGCACATTGGGCATTTGTATGGTTTTGTGCGTTGTTCCGTCATGTGCGCTCGGATTTGGGAAAAGGAGTTGTTGTGAGAGTTCTGAGAGGTGGGCGGTTTAGGGAATGGCCTACTGTTACTCGAGTAGCTTATGTTCGAAAGATTAGTCCGCGGAGGCTTGGGTGCACGAAATTGATCTACCCTTTCAACCACCTCGTATCGAGTAGTGAGGAACTGGTTCATTTGGGACCAGTTCGGGCGGTCTTTCCTGGAACTGAGGGATTGCTCCCATAGGGCCACGGTGTTCTCAGGAAGCTTGGAGATAACCAGGTAGATCAGAATGGGATCCCAGCTTTCGGTGGAGACTTGCTGGGTGCCTAGAATCTGGAGACAGTTATTCACCGATGATTGCAGTCTCTGTATGTCTTCGCTATTTTCTATTGGGATGGGTTTTAGATTCATAAGGATGCGGATTTGGTTATCTACTAAAACCCGTTTGTTTTCATAGCGAGCTTTTAGTGCTTCCCATGCCAGCTCGAAATTATCGTCACTTAGAGGGAATTGTTTAACTATTTGGGCAGCTTTTCCTTGCGTTTTGTACCTGAGATGGTATAACTTCTGCGCTTTAGTGAGCTTAGGGTGATTTATATAGACCGCCGTGAACATATCACGGAAGGACGGCCATTGCTCATAACCCCCATAAAAGGTTTCGGTGTCGCAAGGTGGGACGTTTAAGCTTATGCCCGAAGTTTCCTGAGGAAGTGATGAACTGGCTTTGGGAGTGGGACTTATGGTTTGTGCTACTAATTGGAGTTGGTCTCCGATTTGGGCTTTTGTTTCTTCATATATAATTAAACACGACCTAAATTTACTGTAGGCAGACGCCCTAAAGTCTTCGGGGAGGTCATGTTCTTCAATTTCCAAAGTCGAATCAAAGGCGTTTTAAACTCTATTCCAAAAGTTTTCTAGGCTCTTGTCTTTTATTTTCAATACGGACTCAGTATTTTCTTCGATCGGGGCTGATCTGAATCGGGCGCAGTAATCCATCAAATTATCTGTCTCCGATATGAATTTAGTACAGATGACCGATTGTTTTGCCTTTTTTGGCTTTCCGCTTAATCGCGTAGGGCGCTGAGACTCCGCGGGGGTCTCGAGAATTTTTTCTTCTCCGCTCATTCTGGGACTTTTTGGCTTATCTTCAGTACTAGTGAGACCTAGCAATCGAAGTCGAATTGAGCGAAAGTGATTAAGGTTGGTTGAGAGGGTGAGCAAATACAATCGGGTTTTACTAGGCGGTCGCAAACAATAAAGTTTGTATGAATCACAAGTGAGCACCTGGACTCCAAGCGAGTGTGGGATTTGAATCTAATAAGCCAGATAATTTTACCTTTTTAAGCCTTTATGAGGGATTTCGGATCACCGTATCTGGGACTTTCACGCTTGGTCCTGTTCACGAAAACCACAAATGGAGATATTTTGAGTGCAAAATTTATAAATATCTATCTAATGGACTGTATTTTCTTTTTCCGAGCACTGTAACCGCCTTGCCTTTTTTATGGGTAGTTATTATAGAGAGTTCACTGTACGTATTTTTATTTATTTTATATAGCACTTTCTCTCATATGCCCAATATGTGATAGGGTATGTGTATGAATGTATGTGTATATATATATATAGGGATTACTAAACGAGGGGTTAGTTATGTATTCCCAGCTATAATTCCTTGTATGTTTGTTTGGGATTAACTGATTAGCCGCTGTATATACTATGAGCTTTGGTATATGTGTATATATATATATGTACGCCAAGTACTATTTGCTTGTATGCTACAGAATGTTATGTGAAGTACATATGCATATGTATTCTTGCAAAAGTCTTTGTGTGGGTAAAAAATTCGTGAAAATTGGCGCAAAAAAATAAAATTGGCGGGAAAAATGAAAATATGGCGGGAAAATGGAAAATTTATGGCCGGAACAAGGGAAAATGTATTACATAATGCTGGCGTTTACTAAACATATAAGGAATTATTTTCTGCCTTTTTAAAATTTTTGTTTCACCGCAGGGTTAGTAAAAAATTGATTTTTACTCACGGTTTTGCTGGGGATACTTGTGTTTTGAGGTTATGGATTTTTATTCCACCGGTGCGGCTCTTTGTTGGCGCCGAAGGACCAATAGTAAGGGGCCGGCTCTTCTTTTGGTTGCTGAACTCCGGACATGGACAGACGGAGGGCTGGTGGGCGATTGCAGGCTGGTGAGGATGCGGCGGTTCGTTGCTGTTGGCCGTTGACTCCGGCGATGACGGTGGATTTGGCGATAATGGAGGGTTTGGGGGTGGTGGAGGTTTTGGCGCGGATTTCGGCGGCTCTTTGACGATGGGTGGTGGCGATGGGCGATAATCGACACTGGGGTGGTACTTGCGGTGGTGGGGCTGCTGCACTTCCGTGTAGGAGGTCGTGGCGCAGGCGCTAATTCGCGGCTGCTTCCTTGCGCATACACTAGCGACTTTCAAAGCGAAAAATACTGATAGGTTTTAGATTTTTTTTCCTCGCGCGCCTTGGTTATTTTGCGAGAGACTACTATGACCGCTGAAAATAATACACCGAATGTTTATACTTTAAAGTACAATATTGTTTATTGAAACCAAGTTATAAAAAGTTATTCAGATTAAGAGCGAAATTTGCGACCGCACGAAACAATGAAGAAAATGGTATGTATCTAATTTTATTGTTTCTCCTTTTGACATTTGCTGCTTGCACTGTATTAACGACTTTGGCGTTGCCAACTATACATTTCAATATGAAAATTTCTTTAGGTTTAGGGTTTACAATTCTTATCAATTCAATATGAGAAAATATAGAGGGTATTAATTTGAATAGCGCAAAACATGTATATTCAAATTTAACAATTCAAGGCATAAGAATATAAGGTTTAAAATTTTTGAATAACTCAAGTTTAGTGTTAACAATTTTGAAATGATTTAACTTTTAGAATTAACAATTCAATGAAGGAAAATATGTTTACAAAGTTTGAGTAATTCAATTGTTGAAGAAAATTCGCATTAATTCAGGTAATAAACATATACGTTGTAAGGTGTTAAACGACAGACGTTTCTCGTTTAACTAGACAGCTATATCTATATCATGTTTATGATTGAAGAAGTCAATATAATTTTTATTAGTTTTAAGACTCTGACAATTAAACTGGAATATTTTTAGTATGTTCATTTATTAAAGTCGAAGAGGAAGAAATTCTATCATTAACATTAGTCTTACATAAGTTTCCCAATAACTTCACAATGGGATCTTCAGCATTAATTTGAAATTTTTTAACAAGTTCGGATATAAGTCAATCAATTTCGGACACTCTTTCCTATTTACTGCTGTTAAAAAAGGACTAACCATTTCCTTCTCTTTCCTCTGCTTAACTGTTTTACATATTTCTACATTCTGTTCGTTATTTTGCTTAGTCACCACATTGTATTTCTTGGCTGTCAATTTCCTATTGACCAGCATATCATCGTCGTAGTACTCCTACCTCCAGGCACTGTAGAAAAATCTGCCTCATAATTTTCCAGAATTGAAAAGCGATTGCTCTTATCAAAAATATCTCTATAACCCTCAATCACTTCCCTTTTGGAAATCTTCTTGATGGTCATAATTTCAATTATATCACTTTCTCTTTTCCAAACCGGACACTGTCTCTTTTTAATTGAAACATGTTCTGCACTACCACATTGAATGCACTTAACCTCACCCTCACTACATTTTTTTTCACACTTTTCCAGCTTTCCACATAAAATGCATCTGGCTCTCGCTCTACGTCCTAACTTTGTATGCCCCAACCGACCACAATTATGGCATTGCTTCGGTCTTGAAAAAAAAATGATTAACCTTAAAGTTTACGCAAAAAACTTTCACTGAGTTAGGCAATTCTGTACCTTCAATACCAATTTTAACTGAAAATGTTGCATAAAACTTATCCTTCTCGTCTAGATCCCTTCTAGTAATTCTAGTAACTGATACAACTCGAACTTCCGACTCAATGTTCGCTAAAATTTCTTTATTCGTAAAATCTAATGGAATCTGTCTTAAAACTCCATATGTAGTTACAAAACTGTTCGGTATAAAAGCGCGAATGCCCAACTCAGTCACATTTCTGTTATTAACAGATTTATTAGCCGACTTATAATCATAAAAGAAAACTTTATATAAGGATCGCCCGATGGCTTTAATATTCTTCAGATCCTCAATATTAAATTTCCTTATTTTATCAAACAAGAATAAACCATTCTTCATAGTTTTGTTTTCAAACTGAGTACTTTTTGAAGTATCCATTAAGACACGATACTCCCCTCTATGCCTTTCAGTGTACATCGCATCAGGAAAAGTTTTTTTGACCACATTAACACTAAAGCCACTTCTTATCTCATTTTCACCCCCCTCTAAATTCAGCATTTGACCATTGCTATGTATTCCTTCGTTCACTTCATATCCATTTTTTCATTTGAATTTTTATTTTGTTCTTTACATTTGTCTTTGTTTTGCATTAAGCCTTGCATTTCCCCTACTTTTTGGCTTGAGACACTATCTCCCTCTCTTTCCTTAGCTTGAAAATAGCAACCATTTTTATTCAAACCTGTAACCGACGCCTCAAAATCAACGCCATTTTGTAAGCTAGGGCACGCCACTTTTACACCACCAGAAACATTATTTTCATGTACAGTTGCTTCGCTGGAACTACTGAAACGTATTAGGTTTTCCCCGACAGATACGGGGTTACTAATTTGACCAATATGATATGTACCCTTTTAAAGCAACATTCCCTGAAGAGGAACTGGACTTGGCTCATGCACCATCTCCTCATCCTCCTCAGAAATCGAAAAACACACATCCTTTCCTGCCTCATCCCTACGCTTTTTATTTTTCTTCTCTTCACTCCTCGCTCTAACTGTCCTTTTGGCTTTAGCACCAGTTGAGGATCCTCCCAACTGGTCATCCACCATCTGGACTCCTCCCGACGCCGAAGCGCCCTCCATCAAGCCCTCACAAAAGGCCAATCCCCACCACAAAAGTTACAGCAAATTCCAGGAACTTACCAAAAAAATGTCCAAGAATCAAGAACTCCGCTCCTTCCACTAGGGCACAATATGCATGTGCTTTGATAGCAAACAAAAAATAGTCCAGAATATTAAAAAACGCTAAACCACTTCTAATTACAATTACATTTTATCAAATTTACACAACGCAAAAGAAATAATTGTTTTAGTTATAAATTAAGCAAAATCACTTCACCGCTCACACGTCCGCTCCGCTAGGCTGAAGAATTCGAATGTCGAAATATCAAATGTTTTTTTTTTGTTTGCTTAGAGATACGAGATGGCATCAAAATAATAGAAATGGCAAGTCTTCTTTTAGAGACCCATGACGTTGCCAGGTTATACTGAAAACTTTAGAATTCTTGTCGTATTTAAAGTGAACGGTTTTCCATCTTTAAACTCCAACACGCTGAAGTCCCGCGAAGATCAAGGTCGAAGACTCACGTACTTATAACTAAATATACTAAGGGCCGGTTACTCAATGTCTGGTTAACACTAATCTGCGGTTAAACATCGTTGTCGACGTCTTCGACTCCATGCATACAACAGGGAGTCGGTAACGTCGATAACTATAACCGGCGCTTAGAATTCTAACACACAAAAAACTATACCTAAACTAACTAAAACTATATTAAGAAATTATACATTACATTTCATACATGTACTAATTATTTTATCCAGTAGGAAAATTGCAGAACAAAAATAATTACATCAAATGAATTTAAGGGCCGGTTACTCAATGTCTGGTTAACGCTAATCCTCGGTTAAACATAGTTATCGACGTTACCGACTCCCTGTTGTATGCATGGAGTCGTAGACGTCGATAACGATGTTAACCGGTGATTAGTGTCAACCAGGCTTTGAGCAACCGGCCCTAAGAGTGTTATTAGTTTGATTGATACTATTTTGTTCATACCAAGCAAAGGTCATACAGTTGTAAATCCACAAAAATTACTTATACACGCGTAAAGTTATTCAATTCACATATTCTTATTGCTAAAAAATTCTGGTACTCAGTTGGTTTTTCTATCTAATACAGACCATACCTCTATTGCTCTTTCTAATATCTATATTCTT